CTCTCTCTCTCTCTCTCTCAAAAGTTATATTTTACTGTAATTACTAATGCAGCAAATAAACTGCTAAATATTTAAAACGGTGTTATAAACTATTGAAATACATAAATAGCTTATTTGGTCATGATTAAGCTATAAATATAGCTGAATGATTAAACAATCATTACCATGTTTGATTGTTGACCATTTCATTGTATAATTCTAGACAATGAAATGGCCAACAAAACAGCATTCGAATTATAAATATTAATAATAACAAAATAATTAACAAAACATACATTTGACCCAGGTAGAAAATAGGCGTCGCGTGCCCTCTCCAAAGTCTCGTCGACGTCTTCGCACAATTCAAACTGAAACGGCTTAATAACGACGAGTTTACCCGTCTTTTTGGACCACTTCTTGCCGATCGTTGTCTTCCATTTGTTGGACAACTTCTTTCTCTTTTCCATTCGATATTTGGAAAGCATATGAATTCTGTTGATAACAATTTCAAAGATCTCCTGCATATCTGTGGTCACCAGACTTTTGCCGGCGAAGTCGCCCAACTCGTTGCCCATATATTTAAGCTTGCCATTCATACCCTGCTCCTTTTTTAAGTCGCGCAGTATTTTCTGTTTGAACGAATCGGGCAACTCTGAGGACAGGAATGAGAGCAAAAAGTCAAGTATATACTCGTCGGTCATATACTCGTCCCGGAAGTGGGAGTCGTCGATAACGTCGATGATGACCGCCCGCCCAACCATTCCCTTCAGCAAATACTTGGAGCAAATGATGGCGCCGTCGAAATAGCCCAACACATCGCACTTGCCTTTCGGCTCAAGCGTTTTCAACAGATTCACGTAATAGGCGGTCACCTCTTTCATGGTGGTCAGTGCGCTCACCTCACGGGTCCAATTCAGGCCGATTACCGGGCGATTAATCCTTTGAGCCAACTCTTCCATAGCGCTAAATGACACCAAAATGGGTGGCATAAAGTATATGGGCGTACCCTTTGCCACAGTGTTTAGTGAAGTATGGGTTTGGGTGGGCATCACAAAATTCAACTTCAGAATGGATAGTCTGGCCCTTTTAATATCATCAATGTGCTTTTTGATTTGGCCCATAACACCCGCCTCGATGTCTTTCAACATTCCAATGGTTATAGTCTTCACCTGATTTAGCGATATTTTTGTATTCCAGTCCCTCTCCAACTCCTGTTGCAACTCAACGGCAAACATGGATTCGATGCCAATCTCGCCGAGAGTCAAGTGGTTGGGTGTGATCTCCGGGTCGATACCCAACGCTCGCCACAGTTCTCGATATTCCAGTCCCTCTCCAACTCCTGCTGCAACTCAACGGCAAACATGGATTCGATGCCAATCTCGCCGAGAGTCAAGTGGTTGGGTGTGATCTCCGGGTCGATACCCAACGCTCGCCACAGTTCTCGGATCATACGTTTGCCTCGACTAATACTATCATCTTTTGTTTGGTCCACTTTAACCTGTATTCATGTATTCATTGATTTTTATAAATAATAGCAATAATTTGAAATCATGTTATTTACATATGAAGTGACAATCGGTTGTTTAATTGACAATAATTTGTCCAAAACATCGCAACACGAGTTGATTCGCTGTTTTCTCAGTGTTGTTAACGACAGCAACTGATCCGAGTCTTTAAACACTCCCACATCACCGACGGGTCCGTATTGTATGGCGAGTCCGTGCAGACCATCCCTACGTCTCTCTTCACATATACGCTCGCAAATAGAGTTACCAAATGAATAGTTCGATTGCCCGGGACTTCCTTTACCACAAGCGACGGACGAAAACACAACAAAATAATCCAATTTATAGTCCAATTGTCGGGTCAGTTGATCCAGATTTGTGAAAATCTTGTGTTTTGTATCAATAGATGAACAAAACTTTTCAAACGTTAGCTTTTCTATCAAACAGTCATTCACTTCAAGCGCCAAATGAAATACCCCTCCAATGGGTCCCAACTTTAAGGCTTCGCTAATGAGTTGTTTTGTGCCTTCAATTGTGAATCCATTGGCAGTCGAGACAAACCATTCGCTCTCAAAGAATTTGAATTCTTGATATACGCTATGAATGCGATTGTAAATGAATTTCTGGTAATCAGTCTTAAGGCCGGACCGGGAGGTGACCATAAATTTCCGGGCGCCGAAGTATTGCATCCATGGAATCAATTCCAGACCAAAACCACCCAAACCTCCGGTTATTATATAGACTTTGTTTGGATTGAAATAAGTCTTAGCGCTGACCAACATTTCGGGCACAGGTTTTATTGTTTTCAAAGGCCCTCTATTTGTCTCCTCGTCTCTGGTTTTGATGACTATCTTTCCCGTGTGTTTACCGGTTGTCATATAACGGAATGCCTTTTCCGCTTCGGCCGCCGGAAACACATTTTGATTGATTGGTTTCACACAACCATCGGTGCAGTTCTTGTGAACCCAATCGTAAAACTCGGGCAAAAAGTCCGGATAATCAAGCAAAACGAGATCTAACACTACGCTAATGAAGTCAATGTTGCGCACAAAATCAAACATGCCCAGTTTCTTATTCTGGACCATGTCGAATCTGCCCATCTCCACAAACCGACCATGGTTGGCCACACAACTATAGCTGGCGTCCAGTTTCTCTCCGGACAATGAATTCAACACAACGTCGACTCCCTTTCCTTATTCTTATTCTGGACCATGTCGAATCTGCCCATCTCCACAAACCGACCATGGTTGGCCACACAACTATAGCTGGCGTCCAGTTTCTCTCCGGACAATGAATTCAACACAACGTCGACTCCCTTTCCTTCCGTCGCTTCCATTATCTGATTCTTGAAGAGTATATCTCTTGAGTTGAATATCTTATTCTCCGGTATATTGTATTCATTCATCAAAAACTGTTTCTTCTCGTCGTTACCGACCGTCACATATATATCGCATTCATAGTGTTTACAGATATATATAGCCGACTGTCCCACACCTCCGGCCGCCGAGTGTATCAAAATGCTCTCACCTGTTATACAGCAATGTAATTACTAATCATGTTTACATTTCTTATAAATAAATGTAATGTTTAATTATAGTAAAATTTCATTCAAACCTTTCCTAAGTCTTCCGGCTTTAATCAATCCATAATAAGCTGTACTATAAGTACTCAATATAGAGACGGCATCGTTCATAGACCAGTGGTCAGGGATTTTAGCGTAAGTATGAGTCGCCGCGTATATCGAGGTCGCGAAACAACGGCCAGATTCCATACCCATAACCCGTTCCCCCGTTTCGGCCAAACGACCGGCGAATTCACCACCAATTGTACAGTCCATGAATACAACCTCAGGACCCGAAGGGATACGACCTGTATTTATATAGTTATTATTAGTTTGTTAAACAATGAATAGCCATCATTATTAATAGCATACCTGTGGCTAACATAACGTCGTGGAATGATAAACCGGTGCTATAAATATTTATTTTATTTTTGGTCACGTTTTGGCCGTTGAAATCATATGATTCTCGTTTTGGTGAAAGAGATCTTAAATCATACCATTGAAGACCTGCGAGATCTCGGGTTTGACCCAAATTTAGGAAATACTCGTTGGAAACAACTTTATCACTGTCTTTGGGTAGTTTTATGTGTCTATAACTTCCAAGTTTTCCCCCTTTGATAACATTCGCCATCAAATCATTGGCCAATATATCAGAATAGGGTTTAATAGTGAAGTCGATGTTTGTCTCACTATTGGAGTCCATATTGAATATATATCTGAAGTTCTCTCCTCCAGGTTCTAATCGCATGCTATTAACTAACCCTACGATTCCATTAATACCCGAGTCGTCGGCCATAAGCCATACGTTATCGGTTTGATTGTCCGCCTCTTTTGCGGTAATCAACTTCTTCTGCAATACTCTAAACCATTGTTCATAATCTGTAGTAATTCTAATGACATTACTTTTATCTGGTATTTCCGACTCATTCACTATATGTCTAAATAAAACACTGACGGTTCCGAAGCTATCATATTTAGTACAAATCAATTTGAGCCCAATTTCATCACAAATTGTGATAAACTCTTTGATCCGATTCTCGAGAAACAAATTATTATAAATCGCTTTTCCGTTCAACGAATTGAACGCAATCTCCGGTTCCGTAAACTTATATCTGAAGACCGATAATAGGAATCCATTGGTTTGAAGGCAATCATAGATGTCCTGAACAAATGATTGCATATCCTTTTGCCACAAGTCTTGCGTATCTCTCAATATAACCAAATGCGAGGGTTTTAGGGATATATCATCTTTTGGGTCCCATTTTGTGGCCCTATTCTTATACATATCAATGCAATCCTGTTTTGATTTGACCACAAGTTTATAGTCGACATCGTATGGCATAATACGGAAGAGTGACATAATCTGATCCACTTCTTTGGCCAAAATACCGGACGAGAGATTAATTTCAGTCACTTTTATCTCTCCGATTGTCACAAAGTTTTCGCACACGATATCGACTAGAGTTCTAATCATGTGTTCATTCTTCTGGATCTGATTAATCAGATCTTTATTGAGATCATATTCGGCACCGCTTTCTATATCTTTCAATACTTTCATCACTTCTTTACTGTTTTTTGAATTCTTGTTTTTGTCCACAACTTCTGTTAGTATTTTATCAAATATGCGAAACAATACATGATTTTCGTTATTTGTTGTCCTATACTCTTGTATCACATCATCGCTAATGTTTTGGTAATTAAAATCGCATTTAATGTCTTTATATCCAATTAGTTTAATCTTAGCGGCCATTGCTTTACACACCTGTTTGTTACGGAGTAAAACATACTAAACGTCAATCACTTCATCAAACAAAACATACGCTCACTTACCTCTATATACTCAGTGACCACACGTTTATCAATGGCGTCAACGGCTTCGAGGTCTTCATTGGGGAAGAACTGATACGTGTCTAACACCAGATCCGTGCCGTCCGCACGTCTGGGTATAGGGAAGGCCATCAGGTCCTCCACTTCTAAGCCGTGAGCGACCAGTCGTTTGGACTTTGCGTTGAAATGAAACGGCATATCAGCCGAGAAGACGAAGAAGCGCTCGTTCTTGCGGGTCATCTCCTCCTTGTATATAACTTTGGCGTCTTTGAGGACCTTCTCGTCTTCTGTCATGCCTTTAGTGACCTCAACCATCTCTCCCCCAACCGATAACAGCGTTCCCAAGTTTTCCGCAGCAGATTCTTCGCTTTCCATAGACTCGATAGGCTTTTGCTCCACATTTCGGTTCCGAATGACGTTCTCGAAGAACACACGCGGGTCCACACGTATGGTCCTAATCATCACCGGAACCATGAGTTTACGGAATGGAGCGGAGAATACCATTGACTGTAACATTGCGTCCAAATATGTGACAAAATTTCCGTCCCATTCATTGATGCCATAAATGTCGCGGAAATCGTTGGTCTGAATGCGTTTCAGGCGTTGAAAGTGCGGTCCGTAGTCGAGGCCCACGACTCCCAACTCCTTATAGATGTCTTTCCTGTCGAGTGAGTACTGAGTACTGGCCATCAGTTTTTGTATCTCGAATATAGCGTTAGGCGTGAGTAAGACCTCGTCGTCCGGAGTCCGCACTTTGCCCACAACACACACGTTATCGTTCTCTAACACACAGAACTCGTCTTTGGGTTGGGATGCAGTAAAATGTTTGGACAGGAGATAGGGTTTGATTAATACAAAAATAGTGTTAAAAATGATAATTAGATTAATGAGTGATAAGCAAAATAATGTTTGCAAACAATACCAGTGTTGGGAAAATATTTGACTATGAGGTCAGTTTTGTTGACATCATTCACGAATACGGCGCGTTTGAGCTGAACGTTCTCAAAAATAACGGGCAACTGATACCACGCCTTACCCCTACTGACTGCCAGTTTACGCCACGCGAGCATTAAATAGCCGGTGGCCGGGAAGAGGGCGTTGCCATCGACGGCGTGATCAAGGTAGAATGCGTGTAATTGATTCTTTGACGGGTCGACCGGGAAATTGTAATCACCGGCTGTGAGTCGACAGTACTTTTGCGGATAGAGTTGGTGCTCGAACTTTCGGTTGTGATCCCAACGCATGAGCGAACTGATTGACTGTGTATTTCGGGCCACCGGCCACTCAACCACTGGGTATAGCTTCTCAATGGACAGATTGACTCCCGACTCGTATAGAGTGGCCAATCCAGCCATAAATGTGTCCAAATTAGTGTCGTTTGCGTTTCTCTTGATTAATGATACGTACGCCGAGTTATCCAGCGTTTCGGACACCACTTTAGGGAATATAGAGTGCGGACTCAACTCTAGTATAATAGCATCTGTGGGCAGGTCTTTGAGTTTGTCTATGAAGAGCACGGGATTCATCAGATTGTATACGAAATACTCGGCCGAAGCGTATTTCAAGGCCTGATCGCTGGGATCGGTAGTCATGAGTGAAGTGGACACCCATTTCCGGGACCGGAGTCTCGGGTTTGGTATATATTTCTTAATGGATTCCGGGACCGGAGTCTCGGGTTTGTTATATATTTCTTAATGGCTTCAGTCATAGGCTTTGCAGATGTGATCAGATATTGTGAATGATATGGGATTTCACTGCTCTCTAACTGTCGCACAAATACTGCTTTTTCTTCCAATCGTTTGATCATTTCTGACATTTCTTTCTTTGGACCTAAAAATTAAATTAATAATTAAGTTTAAAAATTTAAAAAAAATTTAGAATAAAATCACAAAATTAATTATTTATATAAGTAAATTTTCGAATACTGTAATAATATATATTACATATATTACATAGGACATAATATATAATATACAGAGTGTTCTTTATTGGACTATAACATTATAAAGCCGACTATCTCAAAAAGTATTCGTTCTAGAAATTCAAATAATACATCAAAATACTCATCAACTGCGGGAGTTTTTGTTATGATATGATCAATATGTTTGACCTCCTATTTTAATAATAATCTCAAATTAATCAAAATGTAATCATTTTTTTCCATAGACATAATGTTAAATTCAAACTTATTTTTGAACAAATTTTTGAAATATTTCTCAAGTTATTTTTACTCCTGTTTAAAAATCTGTAATCAAAATTATTGTACTGCATGTAGTTTTGTATTATAGAAAATTTAGTTGGAAAAGTTGTATATTTTAAAATCATATAAATCTGAAATATTAAAAAATCATTAATAAAACAAAAACTACGAATAGCACAAGAGTTTTGATTACAGATTCTTAAACAGGAGTAAAAATAACTTGAGACATTGTTAAGGAATTTGCTCAAAAGTAAGTTTGAATTTAACATTGTGTCTATAGAAAAAATGATAACATTTTGATTGAATTGATATTATTATATATCATTTAAATTTTTAGACCGAATACCTTTCGAGATATTCGGCTTTATAATGTTATAGTCCAATAAAAAACACCCTGTATGTATCTCTATATTATAATATTCAATTTTGCACTATTAATTGATTAACTAAACTTTAGTTTCAGTCATATAATTATTGTCAAACCTTTCTTATAAAGTGACCAAAACCTGTTTAAACGACTGTTTTTGTACCGCAAAAAGGAAAGTCTTTCCTATGTGTCCGTCTTTGAGATCTATTAATTTCGACACAAATATGTTTTTATTAATATGATCAATTTTAATTTTTAGTTTCATATATTTGAAATAAAGCGGAATTTTTGCTCGACCCTGGAAAATTGTAACATACTGTACTATTAGATATGCCCAACAAACTTTACATAGTGACATGTGAGAAACATTAAGTTATAGTGAAATTAAATTTACCTGAAATGACTACATTATCCTTTGAATTATTACACGCGAGATAACAACCGCCAGGCGTTACCTTTTTGGCCTCAGCTTTCGATAGGCCGACGACAGCCATAAGTCCTTTAGCTATTTTCTTATCGCTTTCAGTGACGGCTCCCCTGAAGTACGTGACGACCATTGCATCCCTTGTGGTGAGACACCCGTCAGCGTAAGCACAGGCTATCTCTCCAAACGAGTG